AAAAAAAAAAAAAGGGAAAAATGCCAGGTGTTCCACGGAACTGGAAAGGGACTCAGCAATTGTAGCTGATTTTTACAGAGAAGTGTGGAAAACCCTCAGACTATTTTTCATTTCCCGAAGCTTCGTGTGCCACTTCAGTATACTTTGTTGTAGACACTGCCTTTGGAAGGTTGGGAATCCACTCCCTGAGGCCTAGAACACCTTATTTTTTATTTCCAAGGAAGGGAATTCACAGTGTTTGCTGTGTTTTGACAGTGGCTGTGTGGTGATACCATTTGTAGGTCTTATAAAAAGAAATATGTTGCCTTTTTTTTTCCCTGCATATGTAAGTTTCCTGGGAAAACAGTATGCAAAACCGCAGGGCAGCAAAAAGAAATGTAAAAGCATGAGAGAACGGGTGACTTCGCAGTCAGGACTGGAAGAAACAGATAAATGCTGTGTGTTGTAGAGCAGTACTCTTTGAGTGAAAGCAAGAGTGATTTACTTGGCTTATGCAACGAGTAAATGATAACCATAGTAACCAAATTCACCCTTCTTGCCTCTGCAGCCTCACCACACCTAATTCCCCAATAATTATTTTAAATAGCTGGAAGGTTAGTCAGGTTTGGCAGCATCTGCACACTTTTCTGGCAGAACTTCCACCCCTGAGTTGTTTGTATTAATCATAAAGCTGATCTGGCTGCCCGTTCCCACTTGTTACATTTTGATAATCTCGAAGCTTAGATCTTCTTCAGTGCTAATAATAAGAATATTTGATAGTAATGTGTAGTCAAGGTATTACTCATTTTGTGTCCTTGGTATGGGTGCTTGCCATAGGAAGGAGAGCAATTGGGAGTATGGATATGCTAGTTTAGAGGGCTATCAGAGGAAGTCAATATGTATGGCAAACATAGAAAAGGAAATACAATGATGTTACTCGATTTTTCTTCTCTGCAGGTTTTCAGAGGATTATTTATCTTCTCTGGGGAAAACAATTGGTAAGTGACGTGTGAGGATTTTAGAAATGGGTTGTTGCACATGATTTTTGGAGATCTCCTAGTAAGAGAAATGCTAAAGAAGATGCAATAAGACAGAGTAAGGTGAAGGATTGCATTGCTGTATCTAAATGCTGCCTGGTTGCGTGTACTTCTGTTTGCTCAGGCAGCTGTCTGCTGTAATCACATATGAAAACCAGTTTGAGTCCTTGATTCAACATGCCCCAGTTAGGATTTAATTTCTATTGTCAGATGCTTATGTTTGGGTCAAAAATGTGATTCCTAAGCACGGTCAGAAAGTGGCACAAACTAGAAAATCAATGCCCAGAGATGATGCAGCCAAGTGTGGTTTGCAGAGTGGTTCGGGATCACGAGAAGTCAATGCAATTTCGTGTGATGTTTTTAAAGGCACTGTGTCAAGCCCGCTTTAGGTCAGCGTTTCTTGTTTTGGTAATGTTTTACAAATGTAATAGAACTACAAAATTTTAAACACGAGGACAGAATAAAAGAGGAGCATTTGTGTAGCTTGGCTCAGATAGGATTGAAAGGAATCTGTTAAATCTAGAAATGTTTGAAGGAAACAGAGTGCTCTGAGGTCTTCAGCCTGGCCTAAGAGGTGAAATTAAGTAAATGCTTTCACAAAATACCAGATTAATGTTTTTTCAGCAAAGTGCATGCTGTTTGACTAGAAAAGTATATGCTTTGACTGGAAAACTCTCAAAAGCAGTCTTGTGGTAGCTCGTCCATTACTTTGAATGTTTAGACTGCAATGGACAAAGAGTGGAGAAAATGATCCGAAACTAGATCCTGCTGTCACGGGGAAAATATGACAGATGATGTTGTATCTCTTTTGTCTGTAGCATTGAGTGTAGCTCACAATCTTTTATCCTATTACCACTACACTTTAGAAAGCTAGTTAGGCATCCGTATTAAAGTTTATACCTTGATGACAAGCTTCTTGAAATGATTTTAAAAAAAAGAAAATAAAAAAACCTTATAGTACACGAACAGTTATGTCAAGAAAGCAGAAAAGATTTTTGGAAGGAGCCCATGCTGTTAGTTTATTTGTCCTCCGTGGTCTGTGTACTCCATGCCAGGAGGAAGATGCCCTCAGCTCTACGTTTGCATGTCTCGTTGCAGGTAACCTTGTGCGAGTTGTGCCACCCGGACTGTTGGTGTTCTTCCCGTCGTATCCTGTCATGGATAAGAGCCTGGAATATTGGAGAGTATGTGAATTGCTCTGCCTTTATTAGGCAGTTTGGTTACACGTGTCAGGCAGTTTGTAGTTATGCTAGCTAACCACGCTCATTAAAAATTCTTTGCTAATAAGTAAATTATAAAACCTGGAAAGTAAAAACCCAAATCAGGCTGCTTTGATTTTGATCACAATACACTGGAATGCAGTGTTGTAGAAACCAAACCCAAAAGAATCTTAATACATTATCCCATCCGATGTGATCTCAGAGTTCATTTAATTTCACCAAACTTCTCTTTATTAAACCTCCAAATTGTAGTTGGTCTAAGTGTTTCAGCACATTGGGGAAAAAAATCCCAATATCAGCATTTCTCCTGTGTTTGTAATTTGTAACTGTTGCTACCGTGGCTTTTGTGACTGCTGTGCTCATGACTTGAGTGTCCCTGGTGGGACTGGGTAGAACAGTTCCATTTCAGACGTTCCTCCTCCCGAAAAACGAGCGCTGGGCAGAGGTGTGGTACTGCGGAGGGGGGCTCTGGGGGGTGGATGTTGGGAACGTGCAAGTTGGAAGGAGAAGGAGTGAATCTCCCATCTGTGTGACATCTGAGTCGCACCAGCTGCGAGGAGCGGCTGCTCGTGGGGTTAGATTGCACGTTCCTGCTTCCATCTCTTCCTCTGGCAAGAGAGGAGCAGACTGTTGGGGAGGTGTGTGGTGACCCATTTCCTTTCTTGCGGGCACTTCTGCTATGTGCTCACTTCCACATGGCCATTTCTGGTGTGTTCATGATCTGTTTAACAGGAGCATGATTTTGCTAAAAGAATAGAGGAAGTGAAGCCGATGTTTGTGGAACCGAGGAACAAAGGAAGCTTTGCAGAGGTTGGTTATTTGCATGACATACCTATAACATTTTCAGAAACTGTTTTGATGTTTAAATACCTTCTCTAGGATTTGTTTGGGTGTGAAACATTAAAACTCTCTGAGCACTTCTTTAAAGTATAGTTCTTCTGTGCATCCTTGCTTTGCTCTTTTGGCTGGCTGGGCAGGGTACAGTCTTCATTTGAAATCCAGTGATGTAACAGCAGCTCCCACACATAGCTACTGAGTAATCGAGATGGGAGAAAGCTGTCACTTCAGTAGTCAGCATCTTTTCATGTTCTGTTGGACACTTCCTCCCAGCTTGTCATGCTTCGGGTGTTAAGGAATTGTGCAGTGTCATCTTGTTTATTTATAGCTGCTCTGTGTGCTGCTTAGAAGAAATAATATCCTTTAATTGCTTTCCTGGTTTGCCTGTTTTACTCAAGGATCTGCAGAAACACAGGACGGTCTGTGTTTTACCTTCTCACCAAAAATATTTGGCATTAATGTTTTATGCTTACTCAGATATATTCTGGATTTCACAGTAATGTAAGGATTGTGCTAAGCAAATGGCTTCTCACATTTGCTATTAGTAAAAGTAAAGAAAAATTATGCTAAGCCATATTAATCACACTTTAGATTTTGGTGTACAAGTGAAATTTAGCTAGTACAGCTTTCTACTTAGGCATATGCAAAGGATAGTACCATTCCTACTCTTGCTTAAACTAGTTTATCTTTTAGGTAATGGATGCCTACTATGATAAAGTTACCTGCCCCAAGTCCAACGGAGCTGCTTTTTTGGCAGTGTGTCGGGGGAAGGTAAAGTAACTGAGAACATGTTTCATCTGAGAGTAGATTATATAGTCGATGAGAGCAAAAAACTTCATTACATTTCTGTTATTTGACTGTAATTATATGTGGAAAAAAACCCCAGAGAAGTAGGATGCCCTGAAGCCTGTTCAAAATTGCACCGAGTTTACATATGCCTCGTTCCTGTTTCTATTAAAGGGATACATCTTGGAGTTCTTTAAAGGGGTTGAGCATCATGCTTTGTTTCTTACTGGTGGCTGACCGAAAACTCAACCCCTTAGATGAGAAGAACAGTTTTGAAGGAGAACTGAAAGAAACATTTGTAATCCAACACGTTAGAACTGCTGAAAACCCAAAGTACTGCTTAGTTTAAAAAAATTTCCATTAACTTCAGATCCTCTGGACACGTGTGGCCTTTCATTTACGTTTTCCAGTGTTGATAAATTGGTTTCTGATGCCAGTAGAAATTTTTGCAAAATCATGAATTACTTTTAGGGCTTTTTTGCTGCTGCTCGCTGCCTACCAAGAGAAGATCCAACTTCTTTTGAACCTTCAGTCCCAGTCCCCCTAGCAGCTGTGACATCAATGCAGACCAGATGTAGCACTTTTTGGGTGGGGGTCTGCGTTGAATATGCCTGTCCTTCCAACAGCAGTGTGCCCTGAGAGGAGTAGAGACTGTGGAGAGATCTTGCTTTGCAGTAACACACAGTTAGAAGAATAGATTGTTTATTTTATCGTAGTCACAGGGCTAATAGTATGACTGCAAAACTGGGAATATTTGAGAAGATAAATCAAGAGAGCCATGTTGTCAGAAGCTGTAAAACCAGCTCCGTTCTCAGCTGTCACCTCGAGTCCCTCCTGGGCTGTTGCTCAGCTTTTACATTGGTGGTAGGTTCTAGCAAGCTTTTTGTTCTCTGTTCCCTGAAAGAAAGGTAAAAAAAAAAAAACAAACCAGTCCTTTTTATAAAGAGGAGATTCTGTCCCAGTTGTACCAGTTCTTTTACTAGCTGTATCTAGGTCCACTGTATCTAGTGTCTTTAAAATTGACAGAAATTTTCTTTCCTGTTTTGGGGGAGTGAAGGGCAAGTTGGGTTTTTTTGATTAGGGTTTTTTTTTTTCATTTTGTCTAAGATTGGTCTTCTCATGCTCTTATTAGCCTGAAGGATTTCCTTTGTGCCCAAGATGAGACATCCATAAATACAGCTGTGCGATTGCGAGCTCTAGATGGGTTGTAGCATGTGCTGTGATTGTTGCTCTTGGTGGCACTGTAGCGTTGGTCATTCCACCCACCCATCCTTGGTGGCACTGTAGCGTTGGTCATTCCACCCACCCATCCATCCCTGGCCTTATATTCCATCCCAGCTGCTGTGTGGCATGGTAAATGAGACTGGAGAATGGATTCAGCTGAAAAACAAAGCAAAAGATTTTTTTTTTTTTTCCCCAAAAATTATTTTTCAGTCTGTTCAACTCTGGGTTTGTTCATTTCACAAAGTGATTTGGCAGCACAGCAGGGGATGTGAGCAAGTACGGGGCGGTGAGGAACAACTACTTGAACGGGTGTAAGCTGCACAGCTGGTGGTTATGACACGATGGTTCTGAGCAGATTTCTGGTAGCTTTCCATTATTGCTTTGAGATGATTCTGTTAATTCTTAATGTCAGAGAAGGTTTGCTATGTTCTTATCATGTCTTGTTAACAATTCAGGGTATGGAAAGTTTAAACAGAAGTGTTGACTGACATTTAGGACATCTTCTGAATACAACTGTTCTGTTTATCCAGGAATAAGTTGTATACACTAATGGTATATGCTTTGTCCAGGGCCTTCTAGAGGAAAAAAATGAGTTTTAAGTCCTGATAATAAAACCAGAAAATCTAGTTGAAATTATTCGTAAAGGATTCATAAACTGCCCTTGGCTAGGGATTTAATTTAGTGGAGAGATAAAAGGCCAATAACTGCTGAATTGCTCCGAAATGTCACCTCAAATCCTGTTGATAATGGAAAACACTGTCTTTTCAGGCCAGTGAAGGCTTGGACTTTGCAGACATAAATGGACGAGGGGTCATCATCACTGGGCTCCCGTTTCCTCCTCGTATGGAGCCCAGAGTCGTTTTAAAGATGCAGTTCCTGGATGAAATGAGACGAAGTGGTGCTGGTGCACAGGTAATGCTGGGCAGCTTCTCACTGTTGGCTGGTTGCAGGTTTGTGTCGTTATTTCTCCCTCTCGTCTCTGCGGATTGTGGCTTTTGTTGTCCTCCCAGCCTCATGGGACCACGAATATCAGAAAGTCAAACAACCTTGGGAGTGTGTCACAAACACAGTCACTTTTTTAAAAAGATGTTAAGGGTTCCCATTTCCGTCTCCAGTGGCATGGTCTCCATCAAATACAGGATCAAAAAATGATATAATTAAAGTTTCAGTCAAAATCTTTGTATGCACGTTGTCCATGTGTCCTTCTGGGGGAGTTACTTCCCTCAGGTGTGATATTCAAGTCAACCTGTGTTTGCTTTTCCTACACTTTTAGGGCTTTGTCAGTAGATCTTGTGGGATGCGTTTTTTTTTTTAATTTCTTTAGGAAGAAATAGTGACTGTACAACACGGAGAATATGTTTTACCTGGTAAATAATGTTAGTTCTTTCTCCCACCTATTGCAGTATTTGTCTGGGCGTGAGTGGTACAGTCAGCAAGCGTCCCGGGCTGTTAACCAGGCTATCGGCAGGGTCATCAGGCATCGCCAGGACTACGGTGCCATCTTCCTCTGTGACCACAGGTGAAACCTCAGCCCTAGACCATAAACATACAGCAACGTTGTTATATCCCAGCATGGGTATTGGTATTTTATATGTGAATAATAAAGAGGGGAATAATTGGACAGGGACTTTCTCCAAGGGTGTATAGTGACAGGACACGGGGCAATGGCTTTAAACTGAAAGAGGGGAGACTTAGATTGGATCTAAGGAAGAAATTCTTCCCTCTGAGGGTGGTGAGGCACTAGCACAGGTTGCCCAGAGAAGCTGTGGCTGCCCCATCCCTGGCAGTGTTCAAGGCCAGGCTGGATGGGGCTTTGGGCAACCTGGTGTAGTGGAGGGTGTCCCTGCCCATGGCAGGGGGGTTGGAACAGGATGATCTTTGAGGTCCCTTCCAACCCAAACCAGTCTGTGGTTCTGTGAACGTGCCAACGTTACTGTTTGGAGAAGGCTACAGTTAATAAATAAAGTAACTGGTTCATTGTCGTCTGTTGCCAAAACATACTGTCTTGGAGCTGCAGGAGGAGATTAATGTTGTTAGTGCAAGATAAGCCAATTTGTTGAATATGTGTTTGTAACGCTACTGAAGATTATGTGATAATAATTTATGGTTTTGCGTTTCCTCCATCTCTCATTTGAGAAGGCAGTCGCCAGAACTGCAGTTTTTTCGAGAGGAGGAGGATGAAAATGAAGAAAGATTATATTGCTGAAACAATATAATCTGTATTAATATAATATATTAATACTATATTACATGAATGTCTGTTGATATAATATTAATTAATATAGTATGTTTGTAGTATGCCACAAGAGTTTCCTTGCTAGCCTTCAGTGCTGAGGCACTGGGCACGGTGAGCATGGCACACTTCAGTACTCCGTTGTGCAGTCAGAGGTTTTGTGGATGAAAGACAGGAATTGGCTGGCTACATGGTATCAACAAAGCCCTTTTCTCCTCAGTGAAGACATCACCCCATTATATGCACTGCACCGTTTCAATCTTCTGTTGTCTTGCAACTCCTCCCTTGTCTTTTTGCACCCTCATCTAGCATTTGTGTAACTCCTGTAGGCCAACCTGACCAATAATTCTGTCCTTCTCTGACCCTGCACAGGTTCACGACTGGTGATGTGAGAGGCAAGCTGCCTTCATGGGTCCGTCCCTATGTGAATGTTTATGACAACTTTGGGCATGCAGTCAGAAGTGTCTCCCTCTTCTTCCGTGTTGCTCAAGAAATTGTAAGTGTCTTTAAAAACACAAACAACAACAAAAAAAAACTAACAAACTTTCATGATAGTGATGGAAACTGGGAATACTAAGCAGGTATGACTGAGTCACTTGTCTTGTGACTTCTGGACATTGGAAGCTTTACGGGAAAGGAGATATGCCTCATCTTTCTCCTTGAGTGAGCTGGGACAGGATGTGTTGTTATGCTGTGCAACTCGTTAGGTTAGATCACAAAAATAACTTCCTTTTCCTCTCTGTCCTAAATACACACAGCTTTTCATCAAAAAGCTTCCTACCTCATCCTCAGGGAGAGGGTGTATGTGTGGAAGAACCAAACTCGTGATTTTAAATCTAAGCTGACTGGTATAAAGAGTGAGACAAACCAATCAGTTATTATTGCAGTTCATCACTGGGTCATCTTTACTAATGTGGCTTCTCCCTGAGCATTAAGGAGCTCTTTTTCTCAGTAATAGTTCCTTGATTGAAAAAGTAATATTGTAAAATGACTTTCTCATTGACTGGAAAAAGTCATAGCAAGAAATGGGCTGGAAGCAAGAAAGGAAAATTCTTTGTCCCCAGAATAGAGATTAAGATTAAAATAAACACTTAAAATTTCACATACAGACTTGTATTTGACTAAAGCATCTTCCAGGAAGCCATCCAAGTTGTTCAAAATAATAAGTTACAGATGGGTGATACTGGATGACTTGATGATCTTCTCTGATCACAAATGGGTGTTTCATGGTGAATAAGACCCACAACCCAGTGTGCTTTGCCAAAGGAGCTACGCTGCAGGGATAGTGTTAGGAAGTGATTGTTCTTTAGCAGGGTCATGACCCTTTTTCCGTTACACGGATCACTTAGTGCTGAGCCTGATGACTACACTTCATCTGTCTGTGTCAATTCCTAGTTATTTGATCCTTTTTCAACAGCACAGAAATCCAGAATGCATAACAATCTTGCTGTCAAGGGTTATTTGGGGAAAAGGAGATGTCTTTGAGTTGTTGCTGGGATTTTTGGTTGCGAAGGAAGTGGAGTGGGGAAGTAGTTTTTGCCTGCTGTAACATTTTGCAAACTGCTTGCAGATGCCTGCGCCCGTGCCGCAATGCCCTTCTGGCTCTGCTGGTTCCCTAAGTGAAGGTGATGCTGCACCATCTACTACATCTGAGCAGATCCTCTCCCTGAAAAAAGCCAAAAACTTGGATGACCATGTTCCCAGTTTGAAGAGGAAAAGAAAAGGTTTGTCTAGGTCCTCACAGATTTTTTGTTTGTTTGTTTTCGCTTTTTTTGTTTTCAGCTGAACTAAAAAAGGAGGAGCCAGAGACTAAAAACTGGAATGGGAGAGAACACAAGGAGAGCTCAAAGACCAGTGTAAAAGTCTGATCAGAAGGGACATAGCTCAGTGTCAGAAATGGGGGAACCAGCTGCAACTACAGAGCAAAGAAGCAGATGGGGCCCGGAAAGGTGTCCTGCAGAACAGGAGCTGGGTGGAATGTCATAGATAGTTTAAAAAATAAGAACTGGAAGTCTGTTCCTGACTAGCATTGACTTTCATATGTCCTTCTTCCACTGTGTTGTATAAATGACTCTTACACAGTAGTCTGCCTAAGAAAACAGAAAGAGGCCATCAACCTAGGAAGAAAACAGTATTTTAAAATCCATGGTTAGCTAATGCCAAAGAATGAAGTGTTTCTCACGTCAGATTCTTTCAGAACCTTCCACTCTCAGTTACGTGCTGTTTTGGAACAGAACAATGGAGCTGTGTTTAAAACTGGTTCCAAAACAATTATGACTGAGTGTGAGGACGATTGCACACTACATCAAAGCCGGTGTGACCGCAGGTTGTCATTGAAAGGGGTTGCTTTGTCCAATTTCCAACTGTGCACTCATGTTCCTTCCCTTGGTTTGAATACATCTATTGTGCAACTGCAGAGCAAGCAGATGAGCTTGCTGAACCAATTTACCTTTCATTCACGTGACTGGTAGATCCATCTCAAAGGGTGGGCTGGAATGCGTGACCGGAGGCAAAGGGGAGAAGCTCCATTGCCTCTTTTGATGGAGATTTTCCGTTGCGCTGCATTAGATGTAACATCAAACTGCACCTGTAATCGTAGTTTTGGCTGAAGAGTTTCTTGTACTGACTTTTTAATTTATGGCTTCATATACTTCTGTGATTCTCAAAATAGTGACTTTTCTTAGTAACTGGCTCTAGCGAAGTTATTTCACAGAAGAGTGGAAATACATTTTGAAGATAATGTCTCTTAAAAGCAGCAAACTGATACTAATTTAACACTACCTGCAGGTCTAAATTCTTCTATTTAAACCAGATATACCTGGATCCTGATGAGTGAGAATCTGTTTTCTTGGGAACTGAGGGTGACTGTGTCTGATAGGTGCTGGTACTGTGAGAATTGTAGGCTTTAAGGAGACTTGTTCTTTTTCAAAATAATAAATCCTATTTCATACCGGGATCTCTCAAAACCAGGAGCTCAACCATAAAGCTGAAGTAGTTAAACACAGACAACTGTTGCAGTAGGACTTTTTTTCCATTGATCTTAAGCCATTTTGGGGTTAAATATGACCATCACTTAAGGAAAGGTTTGAGAGAAGTCCAACAGGTTGTGCTAGCAAATGCTTGAGCAATTTTGGGAGTGATTAACCAAAGCAGTCGTCTTACTAAGTCGTACAATGCAATTTCTCAAGATGTGGAAGATTAAATAAACAAACACATCTTTGTGGATTGCTACGTCAGATTTTGACATATTAGTAAGTCCAAGAAAATGCAAGAGATAATGTGGAGTGTTAATTTGTCATCCCTGTTATGCTGTGACGCCAGTAAATGGAGATGGAGCGCCCAGCCTGTGCGTGGAATATGACCAAGAGCTCGTCTCACCTAGAAGACAATGCGTTGGGCTCTTGGATGCGTTGGAGCGCAATGAGAAGAGCAGCCAAGATGGAGAGGAGGAAAATGCCTTGTCAGGAGAGGAAAAGGTAATGGCAGTGGTGTAGCAAAATAATTGCTCCTGAGTAAAAATTGTAGGGTCTAAAGCAAAATGGGTTTGGCATTGATTGAAGAGTGCCAGTTCGATCCTCCTTCGGGAAGAACGCTGCGATCGGCACTAGTAACTCCAGGTTCTCATCATGAAGCGTAATCCAAGGGTTTCCTTGCCACGTTCAACTAGATGACCAACAGGCACATACTTGTACTGAGCTCCATAGCTGCTGACCACATGGGTACCTGGAAGTTACCCATGGCAGGGGGGCTGGAACTAGGTTATCTTTAAGATCCCTTCCTGCTCAAACCATTCTATGATTCTCTGTTCTCTGGAGAGCAAAGAGCTCTCAGAGATGATGTTGGAAAAGACACAGTTCCTCCTGGGTGAAATCTGTGTCATCACTCGGTATGTGACTAGATATTGAGTTAAAAAAAGGGTGAGGGGAGCGTTTATGTATTAGAAATTGCACTTTCAGATTAAAATCTTTGATTTGCCTCAGAGGATGAATATTACAGACTTGCAGAATATTTTATCTGAATCAAAAATCCATTTTTGCATTAAGATCCACAAAGCTGCTTCTGTGCTGTCTGCTTTCTTTCCTCTTGGATTGGTATTTTTACTACCTCAGGAATTAGGCTGTGAATCTTTGTTTGCAGCTGCTTTACCTGGCTACCATCAGCAGCAATTTTTTACTGCTGGCTTGCAGACTCAGCTTGTGTGTTTTTTTGAATGCCTGTTGCAACATACCCAAGTAGTTTGCTTAGGGGGAAAGTGTGGAGGTGTAAGGAGTAACTGGGGAATATCTAAGGAGGCCTAAGGGAGATGGATGGAAACATGTACAAAACAGAGGGGAATGTACAAACTTGGAGAAATGAACAAAGATAGTGAATGTTTAACTTGCGTGCAACCGATTGAGAAATGGGCTTCATCACCCATGGGCTGCCCATAGACACCAGAATTTATTCTTTGGAAAGCCTGGCACATCTCCAGGGACTTGGTAACTCAGTCAAGTTAACAAGTATCTCGTTTTTGGCACTGCTTTTGGCATGGTTGAGCGTTTCCTTAAGTCAGGTACGTTGATGGCACTAATGGCTCAGCAGTCAGTCGGCTC